ACATTAAGTTCGGCCGGGCTGAATTTTAATACCCTTAAATTTAAGGTAAAGGAAAAATTAATGTTGTAGCCAATTTTATGCTTCAAGGATTGTCATCTACCAAATCTTAGTAAATACCAAATTTGAAACAGTTTCGTGGGTAAATGTGACTAGTAATAAAATATCGAATATCGGTAGGTATCGTTATATGCGCCATAGGAAAACGGGGATCTAAATATTCATTGTGCTAGAACCAATTATGACCTGCAAACACCAATTTTTAGACAAATCCATTGAAAAATGTGACAAAAATTATCAAACTACCGAATGCCGGGGATACCGTTATATGTACGCCATAGGATAACATGGACCTAGATATTAAATTTTCTGCAAACGGAACTAGAACCCATTATGAACTACAAGTACCAATTTTTAAACAAATCCGTTTGAAAATGTGGCAGAAGCCATAAAAACACCGAATGTCGGGAGGTACTGTTATATGGCGGCTATACAAAAACGTGAATCTATATATACTATATAACTGGATCCCATTATGAACTACAGATGCCAATTTTTAGACAAATCAGTGGAAACATGTGGCAAAAATCATCAAACTACAGAATATCGGGGATACCGTTGTTTTGTTCGCCAAAGGAAAACACGGACCTAAACATTCAATGTCCTGCCAACGGAACTAGAACCTATCATGAACTACACATATCAATTTTTGGACAGATCCGAGGAAAAATGTGGCAAAAATGATCAAAACACCGAATATAGGGAGGTACACTTATGTGAGGGCTATACCAAAATGTGGACCTTTATATACTAAGTTCCGCCACCGGAGCAAGAACCCATTATGACCTACAAACACCATTGTTTTAGACAAATCCGTAGAAAATGTGGCCAAAATCATCAAATTAGTCGGAGGCACCGTTATATGGCGGCTATACAAAAATTTGACCCTATGCATACAATGTTTCGCCACAGGAGCTAGTATCCATTATGAACTACAAGTACCAATTTTTAGACAAATCCGTGGAAAATGTGACGAAAATCATCAAAATACCGAATATCAGGAGGTACCATTATATGGCGACTATACCAACGGAATAAAAAAGTCAATAAACCCTCCTTTTCAAGGTGGAGGGTATACAAAGAATGGGTATTAAAAGAATGGCCTCCAAAGGATAGATAGAATATTGTCCTTATTTTTGCTTGGAAAAGCCCATTGTCATGCCTTCTATGAATATCAAAATGAAAAATTTTTCAAAATCTTACATTTTTAGTAACCACATTTGCATTTCGGGTCTTATTTAACAACCTGTCATTGTCATTTTTTTCTTGGCTGTTAAACAACTGCTCAATTATATGATAGATTCATACATACTTACACATGTACATACACATGTAATATATCACACGTATATCGTTAACAATATTTTACAACAAGTGTTGGCTGGTTGTCTGACTGCCTGTTTGGCTGTCTGGCAAATATCATTTGTTAACCACCTATCAACCAACCCATCCAATTCGATGCGATCCTACCGTCCACCACAGTCCGCACCACCACCACCAGCACAGCCCTGCCCCAACAACTTGGGTGAGAATCTCTTATTCATATAACCAACCGACAGGCCGACTAGCCAGCCAACCCACAGAACGACATCAACACAGCAGACACAGTGGCATCAGTGCAAACCATCGGATCGCATCGCTAAATAAATGAATCCAAAGATCAAGATTTAGATTATATATATACATATGTACGAATATAGATGTATGCATGTGGGTATGTAGGACTGTTCATTTGTCGATCTATAGGTGTGCAGGCGAATGTATGTATGTATGCATCAGAAACAAAATCAGAAACAAAAAACTAAAAAAAAAAAAAACGAACGACGAGATAAACCGCACTCTGCTGCCAAGACACACGAAGAAAACGACTACGAAATTCGTTCGTAACACTCCGGTGAAGTTTTGTCGTCATCAAAGGCCATTACAGCATGTGGGCCTTAACTCCTGGCGAATGGATTCAATGAAATTTTCAAAATTTTTAACAAATTTAAATATTTTTCATTTTAAATTCAAAAAAGTGTTGGGACCACTAGCTGTTACCTGTGCTATTGTATCATGTTTGTTTATTCAATAGTTTGTATAAATTGTTAATGGATGTTTATCAAAAAGTCCAGTAAAAGTACAAAAAAAAAAAAAAAAAAAATTAAAAAAAAATTAGTCGGCGGGACCGAATATATGATAACCTTCACCACTATGCATATTTAGTAGAGCTCCCGTAATTTGGGCTGATATTAGCCATTATTTTCACAATAAACCTGAAATCGGATTAAGGATATATATAGGAGCTATATCCTAATTTTAGCCGTTCTCGATAAAATTTGGCAAAGGTATTTCTGGTCTATATCTGATAAATGGTACCAAATATCATTGTTTTCGAATGAATATTACGAATGTGAGGGACGTAAACACCAAATCAGATGAAACATATATATGGGAGCTATAGCTATATCTGAACCGATTTTCTCCGAAATTAATGTAATTGCTTTTAGTCTGAATTCGGTGGGATATGCAAAAATTCAAGTCATTTGGACTTATATTGGCCATTTGTTGCACAATTAACCCGAAATCGGTTGAGGATATATATGAGAGCTATATCCAAATCTGAACCGATCTTGACAAAATTTGATACACTTATTTCGGAGCTGTATCTGATATTTGGTACCAAAGATCATTGTTGTGGAATGCATATTACGACTGTGAGGGACTTTACATCCCAAATTGGATAAAGCATGTATATGGTAGCTTTAGCTCTATCTGAACCGATTTACACCAAATTTGAAATGCTAGTTTATAGGATGAATTCTGTCGTAATTATCAAAATTCCGTCCATTTGGACTGATCTTAGCCATTTGGTGTACAATAAACTTAATATCGGATAAAGATGTATATGGGAGCTATATTCTTATCTGAACCGATTTCGATACAATTTGACAGAGGTAATTTCGAGCAGTATCTGATCTCCAGTACCAAATATCAATTTTGTGGAGTTCATATTACGCATGTGAGGGACTTAAAACCCCAAATCGGATGAAACATATATATGGGAACTATAGGTATATCTGAACCGATTTTCTCCAAATTTGATTAAATGCTTCTAGACTGAATTCGGTGGGATGTACCAAAATACAGGTCATTTGGACTTATATTAGTCATTAGGTGCGAAATTTACCCGAAATCGGTTGAAGATATATGGGAGCTATATCTAAATCTGATCCGATTATCAATATAATCGGATAGTTCTTGAAATCTAAATTTAGTATTAAGGTCTCTGTTCATGTGTTGCCTGGACATATGGAGCTTGTTTCATGGTACTAAATTTGGTATGGGTTGAAGGAATAGAGATACAATTCTGAAATTTGATATTTAGATTACTGACTTTATTTGTGTTTGAGATTTAGCGGTGGTTTGGAAATGCGTCCTATATTTGTACAAAAGTACTAAATGGTATTAAATTTGGTATTGGGTGAAGGGATAGTGCTGGAGTCCTCAAATTGAACATTTAGGTCTAGAATTGAGATATGGAGCTTGGATTCGGAAATGTGTACTATAATTGTTCGAAAATTACTAAGTGGTACTAAATTGGGCATTGAGTGATTGCATAGAGCTGGAATCCCGAAATTTGATTTTGATGACACTGTTGTGGTTAAGATATGGAAGTGGTTTTGGAAATGTGTCCTATATTTGTACGAAAATACTAAACGGTACTAAATTTGTTATTGGGTGAAGGGATAGGGCTGCAATCCTCAAAATTTGATATTGAGGTCTCTGTTGGCATATGGAATTGAGATATGGGGGTGGTTTTGTAAATAATTGTACGAATAGTACTAAATTTAGTTTTGAGAGCGGGGGTAGTTCTGAAATCCTGAAATTTCATATTTAGATTCATATCTCAGTTGGTATCTAGGATTCAGATTTAGAGTATTGCATGAAAAGTATTAAATAATACTACATTTGGTATTGGGTATTTGGAATTAAGATGGTTTTGGAAATAAGTCCTATATTTGTACAAAAAGTACTAGATGGTACTAAATTTGGTTTTGGGTATGGGAATAGTGCTGAAACCCCGTTTTGATCTGTGATCTGGAATCTGAGATTTAGATTTTGTACGAAAAGTACTAAATTTGTTATGCGGTGAAGGGATAGAGCTGAAACCGTAAACTTTTAGTCAAGCTCTTGTATTTTAGACAAAAGAATTGGATATAACGTCATGGTAGAGCTAAAGAAGTACCATTAAATAATGTTCAAATCTGGAGCATTGGTAGCTTTTGCAATGCTTCTGGCTGACGTTCACTTCACAATCGACAATTCCGCTTATTTACATACCCATTGGGCCAAATGTGTAACTCCACGTTTTTAATGTAGCCTCTATCAAATGTGGCTCCTACTTGAGTTGCAGATGCATGTTCCATTACACCTAGGACCTGGCTCACCAAAGGCCCTCTTCAAAATATTAGAAATTACCGAATACGCTTAGCGATGATTATTAACGTTTGATTGGATTGGAATCAAATTAAAAAAGCAAGCAAAATCTTTCAGATTTGCGAATGTAATGAAACGGCTCCTCGCCGGCACAACGCACACAAACACACACACACACGCGCAGAGATATTCTGCCGCTGGCTAATGGATTTGTATGGCTAATAAAATTTAAATACAATTTCCTTTTTTATCGACTTGATAGTTCTTAACTTCTTTCCGGCTGTGCGGCAGTGTTTTAAATGATCGCACCGGCAGTTGTCGTTAATATTTCTTAAATAATTTTGTTGAAAATTAAACAAATGGAAATTCCCTCTTCCAATGTGATATTAAACAAAATATTCCTTTTTTCACAATACGCCATGCGTCAAAATCTAAAGACCACGAAAAATTGTTGGGAAATTTTAAATGACTTAAAAATTAAATGAAATTTAGAAATTTCTATAAACTATATATGGTGTAAAAAATATATATGAGTACGAAAAGTGATAATGTAACAATACTATTTAAATTTGCTCTTATGGAACAAACAAACGAAATAAGTTAAATGAAATAATTGTTTTGAAGCGAATCTGAGACATCCATGCAAGAGTTGAAACTTTCCTTATTGCCACATGTGCCACATTTCTAGTACAAATAAACCAAGTGATATAACGATATAAGTGATTAATTTATGTATGGTAAGCATTAATTGAAAATCTATTGTGATTTTTTTTTTTTTGGCTAACAACTCACAAATCAAAACTAGAATATAAGATTTTATCAGTACAAAGGCCAGCATCGGTTTTAAGAGTTCCAAATTAGAATTGGAGGAGTTCGAATAGTACCAAAAGGTACGAAAATTCTATCTTGTATGAATTAAAGACCCGAATTATTGTAGGTGACATTTCCATTCCATTTTTGAAGAAAATTGTACGACAAATTATATGACATGTACTAAATATTTAGAAAACCAAGTTAACAAATATCTGTCGGTTTTGCTGACAAATGTGTACCCTCAGACAATGTTCGATAATTTAAATATATTTCGACTTCTGTTATGGTTATTCAAATTATTGACCTTCTATGAAGTAGGTTCCGAAGAAATGGGCCAATATTGTCTATTTCGTAACGGACCTAAATAAATCAGACATAAATATTGCGACATGCCAGGTTTGGACTAATTGGTTACTTCCTTCACTTGATATCAAATATGTGATAATTTTTAGAAAATGTATAAATGTGCGAGAAATACCAGATATACTTGGCCGAAGTATTCCATTTTCACACTAATACAAATAAAAATATTCGTATAGGCAAAATTACACGAAAATCGAACATGTATATGCAATTTTATGCAAAATCGAAATTTTTCGATATAGGAAGTTGTAAGGAATCGCTGACTTGTTTCGAAAGTTATGACAGAAAAAATATTGATATTGATTGATGTAAAAAAATGTGGAAAAAAAACCATCAAAATATCGAATATAGGGAGGTACCGTTATATGGGGGGGGACCCATGCATGCAATGTTTCGCCACCGGAGAGGACCCATTATGACCAACAAATACCAGACAAATCCGTGAAAAAAATTATCAAATTACCGAATATCGGGAGGTACCGTAATATGGGGGCTATACCAAAACGTAGACCTATAATTACAATGTTTCGCCACACAAACTAGGACCCATTATGGCCCACAAATAACAATTTTTAGACAAATCAGTGAAAAAATGTGGCAAAAACCATCAAAATACCGAATATCGGGAGGTACCGTTATATGGGGGCTATACCAAATCATGGACCCATACATGCAATGTTTCGCCACCGGAGCTGGGAACCATTATGACCCACAAATACCAATTTTTGGACAAATCCGTGAAAAAATGTGGCAAAAAAACTAAAATACCGAATATCGGGAGGTACCTTTATATGGGGGCTATACCAAAACGTGGACCTATACATGCAATGTTTTGCCACACGCACAGGGACCCGTTTTTCAGACAAATCCGTGAAAAAATGTGGCATAAATCATCAAAATACCGAATATCGGGAGGTACCGTTATATGGGGACTATACCAGAACGTGGACCGATATATCTCATTTTCAATACCAACCATCCTAGACACAATGCAAATTGCTCTGCTAAATTTGCTCTACGTCAAATAATGTGGGCTGTATCGTGATTTCAACAGACAGGCAGATTTTATGCTGATTATGAATATATATACTGTATGGGGTCTAAGACGAATATTTAAGGATGTTACAAACTGAATGACAAAGTTAATATACCCTCCTTTCCAAGGTGGAGGGTATAATAATAAGAAAGAGAAAGGACTATTTCTGTGTAGTAAAATATTTTTTTTCGAAAGTTTCGAACTTTGGTGTGGAGGTACCAGAAGGAGGGGACCGATATTATCCATCTCCGATCTAAGTTTGATAATAATATTACGATGTACGAAGTTTGGAACAAATCGTATACTCCCTTCGATGTTATCGTGCGCACCAGCTACCCAGACACACAGGCGGACTGACATCGCTAGATCTACTCCAAATGTACTGAAACGGATTTGGTCCAAAGAGACCTAGGGTCTTAAACTGTTATTTCGATTAGGCACGTTTTGGTCATATCAAGTTATATACAGGGTGAGATAAAAAACTGCAACAAAGTCAAACGCCATAATTTTTACATTTTTTTTTTTAATTTTATTGAATGAAAGCAAAAATGTCGGAAATAGCATAAATTTTTAGAATAAGTTTCACTTTGTTCGAATTGGTCACCTTTGGCACGAATTGTGGCCTTCAAACGGCCAAAGAAACCGTCACAGGCTGCCCGAATGTTGCTCTGTGGTATTTTGGCCCATTCCCGGCGAAGCGCTTGCCTGAGGTGATCGCCACCTTTGGCGTTAAGTTTTGGTGGCCAATCGAAGCTGCACATTTTCAGGTGACCTCTTTTGCAAGTAAACACGATCATTTTGTTTGTATCATTGTACGCTTGTAAACAATTAAATGAGCTGTCACTGGGATAATTTTAACAGCTGTCGGGTCGAGTGGCTTAGAAATGACAGCTGTGTGAAGTTGGATGCAATTTTTTCACTCTCCCTGTGTATTCTTGATCAGCATAAAATTCTAAGTCGATTTAGCGATGTCCGTCCGTCTGGGGAAATCACTCTAGCTTCTGATCGAAATGAAGTGGGTTGGTAAAATTTTACTTAAATGCAGGACAAACGGGCCATGCAGGTCCACGTCTTGGTATAGCCCCATACAATTATAGCTCCCTATTTTCGGTATTTTGATGATTTTAGCTACATTATTCACCGGAATTGTTTTAAATTTGGTATTTGAAGTTCGTAGTGGATACTACAGCGTAAGACAGAAAATTGTCTGTGCAGGTCCCCATCTTCGTATATCCCTCATATAACGGCACCTCCCGATATTCGGTATTTTGATGATTTTGGCTACATTATTCACCGGAATTGTTTCACATTTGGTATTTGAAGTTTATAATGGATACTACAGCATATGACAGAAAATTGTCTGTGCAGGTCCACGTTTTGGTATACCTCCCATATAATGGTTCCTCTCTATATTTTAATGATTTTATCTACATAATTCACCGAATTTTTTCTTCAAGTTTCGCATTTGAATATTGTAATGGCTTATGACAAAAGTTGCTTAAAAGTTGACAAAAGTAGGTCCACGTCGTCGGATAGACCCTTATATAACGGCAACATTCGGTATTTTTAAGATTTTAACAGAATTTTTAGCGGATTTTATTTTATTTTTAAATTGCCAAATTCGTTCCAGATGGTGGAGCGTATTCGAAGTTCGAACTTAAAGCTTTTTTGTTTGTTTAAACCCATATAATACAACTATATAGAGCTGTGTAGAGTAAAATCTCTATGTTCAGGTTAGTGACCAACATGACATTGGGCTAGCTGGCTGTTGCATTTTTCAAACCTCAAACCGCTCAACGATGTCTTTACAAAAATTACTGAATGAGTTAATTGAACTGTGATTAATGTAGTGAATGCTTGAATGCATGGATTAGTAGTCCTCATTAATGCTGATAAGTCGCCTGCACTGTAGCTACACTGCACAGACCCACTCACACACACACACACACACTCATCAAATACCATTGATACCTGGCCACATGAATTTGTAAAACGATCAGCTCTATGGAATTCTGTGTAATGCACTCCAAGTAATTACAAAAGAGCAATTTGAGTAAAATGAGCAGCGATAAGAGAGCGATAGATTTGAGCTCCGCTCATTTACTTTTCAGACTACCTTCTCACATAAAGAAAACATATTTTGAGAGCACCTTTTTCGAAATTTGTTTGTTTGTATGGATGTGCGTGTTTGCTTACTACGTGCCTCACTTCTCACATTGTCTATATATTGGCTGTTGGTTCCAAATAAGATCAGTACTGTTTTAGTCACGACTAGCAGAACATCTTCTCTTGTTTTAGAGCGCTTAACCTACTGCGGATCTTTTTTTGTTTCAATTTAAAAAAATACACAAACAACAACCACCTCAATATTGTTCGTATTCAACGAAGTGCGGTTCCTTACAAGCGAATCAAAAATTCTTACGGAAGAACGTTTGTTTTTTTTTTTTTTTGTAATTCATTTAAAAAGTACTGGTGTGTAAACCAAGACGATCGATCGTTTGGTCGTTTTGACAACCAAAAGGAGACAGAGAAAAGAATCAGAGCCAAGAACGGCTAATTAAACGAAAAGAACTGTAAATTATTGTGTCTTTGTAATGTCTTTTAACTGGTTTAAATTGTGTCATTTCGAGGCTAAGCAGCAGTCAGCTATTCCAAAAAAGTTATTGCAAATCGTTACCAAATTGAACACGAAAATGTTTTGAACAGATTCTGAGTTTTGAGATATTTACTACTCAAAGAAACAGTAAAGAAAGCAATCAGTAAATGATAATTAACACAAAAAATACTAAATTCCGAATTTAGTAAAGCAGAATAGCGAAACGGAAAAAAAGTGAATTAAAACTGTGTCAAAAGAACCCTTGAACCATAACGCAATAGCAAACGCATAATAAAGTATATCTTCGAAGATTCTCTATTACCTTCGAAGCTTTTCGAATCATAGCCACCAGCAGAACGTCACTGTGAGATACGCATCATTTGTCGCCATTAAACGCGAAGAGAAGAGAAAAATCGCCAAAATTCCGCCCTCATTGCAAATAAAGTTTTCCAAAACGGATACCTTAAGAGGACGACCTATGTCAGTGCAAAATTATTTATCGTTGATATTCAATCAGAACGCCAACGCTCTGTCGAGGACACCGCATAATTTAGAATTACTGAACTCTTTTATAACGTAACAGTGAAAGTTTTAAACGAAACCCCCACAAGAACAACAACAACACAATAAAAAACCGTGACAACGTCGTCGCCGCCAGCCATCCGCCATAAACCCCCCTGCCCGTCAAAAATATCAGCAACGATCAAACCGTGGAAGAGCCGCAAACGCCGCCGCCGCCGTCGCAGCAGCATACAAATTTTGATTTAAGGCGCCGAATACAGCCTTTGAACAATAGCCGTAGCAATTTATCACAATACCACCAACAACAGCAGATACCCTGTCACATCAACGTCAGGAATTCTATAGCAAAAGAAAAAGAAAGAGGAGACGAGAGTGCAATCAACCAAACAAAAAAAAAAGTAGAACAAAGTAAAGTTATCATCAAGTTACACACGCACACACACACATTGTGGACTATAAAGAGAGAAAAAGTGGAAATAACCGACTCTAAATAAAAAGGAATCTAAAATCATTTTTGTTTGGACAACTGGATATAGTTTTTCGACAACCAATTTGTCATCAATTCGTCAAACCCCCAAATTGATATTTTGTAATTATCAAATCAAGATTCGATTTTAACAAGTTTTTGTGAAAATTTGCCATCATTCATAATCAACGAAGAAAACGCCGAAGAAAGAAAATTAAAGTAAGTACCAACCGAGAGAACAATGTGACAATGTAAAAACAGACAAATTCTAATTATCTTGGAAATTTGGCTCGAACAAATGAAAAAGTTTAAGCAAAAACAGCTTAATAATAAAAATTAGTAAGGATTTTTGGAATACGGCCTTCTGCAGGCCTCCCTGCACATAGAAAACATTCATTAGGAAGGTGACTAATTAAAATATGTTTTAGTTGGAATATCTTTTCAAAATAGTAAGGCAGATAGAAGGTAGACGTATCTACCATGCATCGTTTAAAGATAAAGAGGTTCTATTATTTGGATAAATGGACTCCATGGATAAAAAAAATCATCGCAGAATATATACCAAAGACCAATTATTTATATTCTGAAAATAAAATACGTTCCAATAGTACTCGTTAGCAATAAACATTTAATATGATTTTTTTTTATGGCTCTACGGAATTTAAATATTTGAATGCAATGCATTTTACCGATCTTCAATGGATTGATAAAACTTCTGTAGGTCATTTGGAAATAGAAGAAATAAAATAAATCTAGTATTTTCAAGTCATAGTCAGGGCTAGTGCACACACAATGTTGGAGTCATATGTAATAATACATTTTCTACATTTATGTTAAGGATTTTCATAACATACTTTAAGGCCCTTCACACAATTTTTGTTTTTGAAAGACAAGTAGAAAAAAACATTAAATTCAAACGGGCAGAACTTTAAATACCTTGGAAAAATGTGGCAAAAATAATAAAATTACCGAATATCGGGAGATACCGTTATATGGGGGCTATACAAAAACGTGGACCGATATATCTCATTTTCAATACCAACCATCCTAGACACAATACATGCAAAAAGTTCTGCCAAATTGTGAAGCTCTACGTCAAATAATGTGGACTCTATCGTAATTTCAACAGGTAGACGGACATGGTTAAATCGACATAGAATTTTATGCTGATCATGAATATATGTATATACTTTATGAGGTATACGACGAAGATTTAGGGATCTAGATTTCGAACGAAATGAAGTAAGTTGAAAAAATTGTACTCAAATATATATTATGGGGTATCTCCCTATTTTCGGTATTTTGGTGATTTAAGCGACATTATTTACCGTAATTGTTTCAAATTACGACTGAAAATCATTTATGCACGTCCAGGTCTTCGTATAGCCCCGATATAACGGTACATCCCTATATTCGGCATTTTGTTAATATTTGCTACATTATTCACCGGACAAGTTTCGTATTTGAATATTGTAATGGCTTATGACAGAAGTGGCCTATGCAGGTCCACGTCTTCATATAGACCCCAACATAACGGCTATATTCGGTTTTTTAAGATTTTAAAAAAATTTTTAACAGATTTTTTTTTTATTTTTTTTTTAATTTCCAAATTCGTTCCCAATTGTGGAGGGTATTCAAATTGTAGCCCGGCCGAACTTACTGCTGTTTTATTGTCTAATTTTTTTTCTTTCATGTAATATTCCTATCTTTAGATCTCTAATAAAAATCTCCAATGAAATCGAAGTATGCGTAAATTCTTGGAATTATATATTATCTCCATCTAAATCAAATTCCAATGTTGTGAAATTAATTTTTGAAAATCGTGTCACGAGGTTCTCTATTTTTAGTTGCTTTCATTTGGTTGGCTTTGGCTCTCTTGAAGACATCCATAAATTATAAGGCATGACGTGATATAAAACACAAGACAAAACATATACACAGATTTTGAATATAGCGATGATCATAATGACCGAATGATATTTGATTTAGGAGTACAAACATCCGTACAGACATTTATAACAAAAATAATGTATTTCATCATAGCTATTTAATTCTTGAACCCTTTTTTCTTTCGAACGAAAGACATTTGTATTTGCATTTTGTTTCTTGTTGCGGTATTTTTTTTTTGTCTTTGTTGTAATGTTCCGTCTCGTCTGTGGTTTGTCTGATGCAATCGTATTTAAATATTTCTATTTTATAATGCATCGACAATTTAGTTTTAATACAGCAAATGACAGGGAAATTTCTAAATATACAGATGAGGGGAAAATCGATTACTTAAACGGAAGAAATAAAAACTTTATTAAAATGTTTGCTTTATTTTGAAAAGTCAGTTCGAAAATCGATTTTAGCTGATTGGACAAAATCGTATAATCGAAAAATCGACTTTTTGTTGAAAACAAAAATCAAAAACCTTTTTTAGCCTTTTTATACCCTCCCCCATTCTATGGAGGGTATATTAGCTTTGTCATTACGTTTGTAACTCCTCGAAATGTTCATGATAGACACTATAAAGTATATATATTCCGGATCAGCGTAAAATTCTAAGATGATTTAGCGATGTCCTTGCGTCCGTATGTATGTTGTAAGCACTCTATCTTTCGAACAAATTAAGATAGAAAGCTAAACTTTTGCACACATGTGTTTTTGGCCAGTAGGCAAATTATTTTTACTTTTGCGTATAGCCCTCATATAACGGTACCTCCGAATATTCGATATATTGATGATTTTAGCGACGTTATTCACCCGAATTGTTTCAAGTTTCGTATTCGAAGTTTGTAATGGGTACTACAGCATATTCCTCGTATGCAGGCCCATGTCTTGGTAAAGCCCCTATATAACGGTGTCTCCGGATATTCGATATATTGATGATTTTAGGCACATTATTAATCCGAATTGTTTCAAAATTCGTATTTAAAGTTTGTAATGGATATTACATCATATGCCTGAAAATGTTTTATTCAGGTCCACGTCTTCGTATAGCCGCCGTATAAAGGTATGACAGTATTTTTCGTAATTTTTTGAAATTTTCTCAAGTTCCTCCAAAGTTCAAATTCCTTAATAGTTCGGCCCGGCCGAACTTAGCTGCTTTTTTACTTGTTTCTATTATATTATGAAATTCGAATTCAAATTTTGTCCCACACTGTTCGATTATGATGTTAATTATGTATGCCGTTTTGTCATTGGTGAATCAAGGCGATTTTTTTTAGATTATCTAATTTTGTTTTTGCAAAGATTAATGTCTATGGTGTGGTGTGGTGTGAGAGAGTATGGAATTGCTTATACTCTCCCATCCACCTACACACACACACACACACACACACAGAATATAAACGAATTTCATGAATGAACCACTTCTTCACGCTGCCATCATATAAACTTTGCGTAATTGGCCAATAGGTGGGCAACTATAAATGATAACCCGCACAATAGTTGGTGTTTGGTGGCCCAACACCTACATACATATATACATAGTTGAAAAAGGGGGCTCGACCACGCTTCTTGCTACCTATGGTAATAAGTTCGTTCTTGTTCACTTTTGTACATATCCATTTGTTCGACAGTGTGACCCATGTCCTATGTTAATTTCGCGTGATCTTTTTGGAACATTTGAATGCTTAAAATCTTTGTAGATCGTTCCGATAGGCGGCCACATCAATGGGAAAACTAATGTCAATGACAACTAGTCCCAATCCATTGGGGATAGACGATCGTTCTTTTTTTTGTATGGCAAAGGAAATGTTGTACCGGAAATTATAATTCATTCATTCACTCATTGTTCAGACATCTATGATTAATTCCTCTGTTCAATTTGTTCTTGGGTTTTTTCTCATTCTAATCGTCTGGGATTCTGTTCTTCGGTAGCTTGCTTGCTTGCTGCTTGGCAGAAAAGCTGTTTGTTGCCAAGAACATTATCACGGCGTGGAAAGACAAAATCCCCAAAGCAAAAAATCTCTCTAGTTTGTCGGATCGATAAATCGTTGTCAAATAAAGCGATGCCATACCTACGTATGTACATACAAACATACATACATACATACATACATACATACATGCAAGGAAAGCTATGAATCGCTGTGCTATTCACTTGATAACTTGGCTTTTATAGGCAAAAATACGACAAAACTCGTGAGTGTGTTTCATTTAGTCAAGTTGGCAACGTCACGCCGTAGTGATAAGCAACAATATTCGCTAATTTTAAGGTAATCATTTTTGCAAAAAAAAAAAAAAAAAAAAAAAAAAAAACAAAAATGAAGAAATGGAATAGATTCAAGATCTCAAAGGATCAAACTTTTTAATTTTTTTTGGAGAGCTTATCTCTTTCGAAAGAGCATCACGTTATTTGCGGGTTGATTGACCCTCAAAATATCTGTCATGGACACTGAGATATGAGCTAGGTGCTGTATACCTACCAGCTAGGTGCTGCATACCTATATTGTAAATTTATATAATACGTTTTAGTCTGAATTATTACTCCCTATTATAAAGTTTTTGAAAAAAGGCTCAATAAATTTTTTTTTTCATCTCGTTGCAGAAAATGAACTTACTACATCTTACGATACTGGCCCTGCTGGTTCTTTTAAGCAACAGTAGATGCGGCTCCGAGGCACGTGCCATTGACGATGTGGACAATTCCATTGAGGCGGGCGTTGAAAAACCAGCCCAAACAATGTTATCGAAACAATCATCAACACCACGCACCAGATTTGGTCAGGATTGGATTAAATTCACCAAAACGCCACCAGCGAAGATAATGCAAAATCCCGGCACACCCGTTGAGATAGTATGCGAAGTAATGGGCTCACAAATACCCACTGTCCAGTGGGTTGTTGGCCACCTGCCCTTATCAGAGGTAAGTTTGATTGAAAGAAAAACAAAATCGTTTATGATTGCTTAATAGTCCCACTTAGTCATTATTATCGACCCCCATGATTTCATGCCGACAAAAAATTGAACTTATCTCTTTGAAACACCTGAATGATCGCCAGCTTTATCAATGGGCAAGGAATGCTAGCTACTGCTAGCTACACGGTTCCCCTTTGAACGAAACAAATTGTTCTAGATAAGAAAAGATTTTTTTCGAATATTTCGTAGATTTTTTAATTAAGTTGGGGTAATGACTAAGAGACGACCATATGGATTACTTAGCTGAAAGGGGAACCATTTTGATTTGGATTGCTATGTTTTTCGTTTAGAATTTTGATATAGCTCATGAATTAGTATTGTTTTTTTTTAACAATTTGTCAATGCAAAACATAATTAATATATGAGTGCCATTTTTACAGCAGATCTTACGTTAGTAAAAATAATGGCATGTGTGAAATTTTATGAGAACCGGATGCTTATTTTGGATTTTATGATCGTTTTGGTTATTCGAAATATTGACCTTTTGTGGGGTTGGGAGATGTGCAAACTCTGAATGGATTCGGATGATAATTTCGCGTTATAGCTTCATGGATATTCAATTTTTTGACCCTTTGCGGGTGGTACTAGAAGGAGTGGACCGTTATATTCCATCTTCACACCAGACCTTGAGTTAATCAAAATATTGCGATGTGTCTAATTTGATGACGATCGGACTCTTACATCACATTTTATAATAATAGTTATAATTATTCAAAATTTTGACCCTTGTGTGGGAGGTACTTGATGGAGTGGACCGATATTGTCCATTTTCGCATCTGTCCTAGATCTGATGCATATATTAGACTTTGCAAAGTAGGAGCAAAATCGGATTTTGCTTTCTCATTCTGTTCAGTAAATTATTTTCTTTGAAAATTACGACCTTATGTGGGGGAGGTACCATAAGGTTTGAACCGATATTGCCCATCTTCGAACTCGATCTAAGTTTGATAATAATATTACGATGTATCAAGTTTGGACCAAATCGGATACTCCTTTGCGCACCAGCCAGCCAGCCAGACAGACAGTCATTACATTGTTGTAGTTGTTGTAAATGTTTACATCAGAATGTCAAAAGAACTTTATTCCGTCCAGTCCAGTTCCAAAAATACAATTTTCCTTCTGAATTTTCCATGAATATCCTTGATCGAAAGTTATCTAAAACTTCAGTCCACCACTCCATATGACTTTCGGTGAGAAATCAGACTAAACTCGGATAGTTGGACGACACCACCTGGTTTTCAATATTTTGGAGGTCCATTCCTCATTTTTTTGGTGATTGATGCAACGAACGAAAAGTCCAAAAATCGACTTTATATTCTGACTAGGCATCCCCACTCTCGGAAGCTCAAATCTCATGATCTGGTCCTGAACTACTAGTTTTGCAGGTTCTGGAACAGAGAATCTACTTATTGATCTGTCTTGGTTTCTTTTTGAGTATGGACCTAGGGACAAAAATGTTCTCACCTCGACGTAGTATTGTGGGTATATTAGACCCCGCAAAGTATATATATTCTTCATCAGCATAAAATTATATGTCGATTTAACGATGACCGCCGCCTGTCAGACTGTGGAAATCACTATACCTTCCGAACGAAATGAAGTAGGTTGATGACATTTTTCTCAAATGTGTTTTGTCTGCAGGACTTTTGGTATTGAAAGGTCCACGTTTAGTTATAGCCCCATATAACTGTACCTCCATATATTCGGTATTTTGATGATTTTAGCGACATTATTCATCGGAATTGTTTCATATTTTGTATTTGAAGTTCTTAATGCGTACTGTGGCAGAAAATCGTCTATGCAGATCCAGCTCTATTCTATTTTGCAATTTTTTATTTATTTATTTCTTCTTTTTTGACAATTTCCAAATTCGTTCAAAATGGTGGAAGGTATTCAAAGCCCGGCCGAACATACTGCTTTTTAAGTTTTTTTTTTTGAAGATCAATTTCCTTTATCTTTTTTCTTAATTTCCACTCTTTTCTTTCTAATTTCATTTCAGATCGATAGCATCGAATCGAATGTAATCTCAGAATCCAGTGCTAGTGCCATTGTTAAAGTGCGCTCCGTTCATGTCGTCGATCATATGTTAAGCGAGCCACGCATCTATACCTGCGTTGGACGGACCGGATCAAAGACAATCTATGCCTCGACCACGGTCTATCCCCAATCCGAGCTGAAGGATCTGTTGCAGATGCGCGAGAAACCATTTATGGGACCCACACGACCACGCATTGTTTACAGCGAGCGTATGCATTTGGATTTGGTTGGCTCCAATATTGTGTTGCCGTGCAAAGTTCATGCCCGCCCACGTGCTGAAGTCTTCTGGATGAATGAGGAGGGAAATCTGATTGAACAGAATCAACATTTCAAATTGTTGCCATCGGGTGATTTGCTAATATCGGACATTAAATGGGAAGATATGGGTGCCTACAAGTGTATAGCACGCAATGCCATGGGCAAGGATACCGCTGATGCATTTATCTATCCAGTACAGGTAAGGGAAAAGATTCGAATATATATATTTGTGTGTGTGTGTGTAGATATGTACAATAATTTAGGGAAATTTTAGAAGTAGTAATACGGTTCCGAAAATGTTGAATTTATGTTCCCACAATTTCTTTACTCTCTAGCCTTGATGTTAGTGCAGAGAAAAATTACGCTCAGTAATGACAAATTGTTTAAAGTGTAGAAATATTTGTTATACCTTCAGCCATATGGCTACACATGGTATATAATTTGATACGGTCAAAACGTGCCTCATCGAAATAACGGTTTTAGACTCTCGTCCTCTTTGGACCAAATCCGTTTCAGGACATTTGGGGTCGATTTTGCGATGTCCGTCTGTTGTTGTAAAGATGGGATGTAGCTGCCAACTCCTTCTGGTACCTCACCCACAAAGGGTCACAATTTTCAATACTTTTATCTGAAAAACTGGCACGTCGCAATATTTATATCATATTTTGGTAGGTCGGATACGAAATTGACAATATTGGCCCATTCCCTCGGAACCTACTCCATAGAGGATCAAGAATTTGAATAATCATAACAGAAGTCAAAATGTATTTAATTAATCGAACATTGGCTGAGGGTATACATCTGTCGGTCATATCTACTGACATGGTTTAACTTATTTATATTTTATTTATATTTTATAATTTATTTATATTTTATAATGAAATTAATGTGCCCTCTGTTTGTATTTTTATTTTCTTACAGAGAGAATCCGATAACTAAACAACCCCCATCCCGACTTTGGCCGCAATCTAAGACACCGATCCTCCACCAATTAACTGGAACTTAATGGAAATGATTTGAAAAAAAAAACTTTTGAACTCTTTATTAAATATTGGCTGTTTATAGAACTTGTATTACAAAAACAAAAAGGAGAACAAGACAACAAACAAACAAAACGAAAAATGAAGAAGAAGTAGAAGTTCCTGTATAGACAGTTTTAAAGATACTGGACCAAATTAAAGCCACTATCCTTTATTATTACTACTATTATAATTATAAAAAAACAACAACAACAATATCTAAAAATTGTTAATTGAAAAACAAGAACAAGAATACAATTTACCACCCAAATTTCGATTCTAGGCAGATGCAGGAAATCTTCTAGAATATTTCAATTATTAAAAGAAAAAACAAAACAATTTATATGTAGTTATAATAATGTTAAACCAAATATCGCTAATGAAAAAACAAACAACTATTTGAATACTTTTCATAGGGTTTGTTCCTAAGAAGCTAAAAAAAATTGAATTATTTTTCCATGACCAATCATTTGAAGCTATGCAATTTTTCAATTAAAAATTTGATGACTCCTATTTTTAGAATCAAATTACAGCTCTGCAAAATGAAGCAAATTATTTATTTATGTACTTAATTTATTTTTATATTATTATTATTAAAAAACCAATCAAACTGGCTACAAATGTCTAGCAGTTGACTTGATGTGAGACGAAAAGTTTAACAACAATCAGGTCTGGTTTTTATTTTTTTCTTTTCTCTCTCCAACAATTACTACAACTATTGTTTAGGATTTTTTGTTATTTTTTATAATTTTAATTATATGTTTAATTTAATTAATTAATTTGATTGATGCATTTGTGAATTTATCACCACCACCAACCACCTCATAAACAATTAACGACAACAACAATAAAACTAACATTTTAATTTTATATAGCCAACTATGTACTTGTCTAATTATGTCATAGGATTACCAACTACAACAAAGTCAGTCAGTCAGTCATAGCCGCATACATACCGAGTTTTTTTATTTTTAATTTATATTTACAACAACAACAAAAAAACAAAAACAAAGTATTTTAAGTTCTATTTGTATTGCTACTATTACTTTACTTATATTTGTATTTCCTCATTAAAATAGTTAGGACACCCATAATTCTGAATTGTTTTTTTTATTGTACCGCGTTTTGGTACAGAAGCAAAAACAATGCGCTAAGGTTCGCCACGCGTTCCTCTTGCCGCATTATCTGTTTCAATACACATACCTATTTTTAATTTCTTACTTTTACTTTGGCTTCTTAAACAAAATGCTTAGATTCAATGTATAACAAATTCTAGCTGTAATGGAAAATTGTATTAATTAATAAAAATCAAAAAATAAACCATATGCAAAACATTATTGGAAAATGAAAATAGAATTTAAAAATAAAAATTTACAATTGGATAAAGAACAAAAAAAAAAAAAAAAACTTTACTCTTTTTATTTACATAACGCAAGTTCGCAGATTAGCCTAACAAACAGCATGTGATAGAAAAATAATCGGCCCTATTATGGTTGTCGTCGTCGTCGCAAAATGAATTCGAGGCGACAATAGTGATATTAGGGTTGTCGTTTTTTGTCGATAGCGACAAATGATTGCTATTCGGCCCAATTACGGTGTCCTTTCTATAGTCGTCGTCGACTTTATGTGCAAGTCGCCCTCACCGTCGCTTCGATTCAAAAATGGTATTACGGTAAGGCATGGAAGCGACATCGACAGTTTAAAATAAAAGTTGGCAACAATTAAAAAAGCTTTGGCAACACTCCCTTTTTAATAACAAAATAAGATAAAATTTTGTTTGTATTTTGAATTCTAATTTCGTCCCTTTCGGAAAAATTAAAAATATAGTGAAAAATGGATAATATAAATGCGTTACATATCTTAAGTTCAAGTGAGAATGAAGTGGAGAATGTACTCCTTGATGACTTTTTATCATTGTTTTTTTTCTGGGCGATCGAGAAGCTTGGATAGTAGTTACATCAGTCTCGTCATCAGCATTGTCCATTGGCACATTTTCATGGTCTATAACGTCTGTTACAATTATGTTTTCCGTATTTTTTACTCCAAGTGTACGACCTGGTGGATTCAGTAACTTTTGAAACTGCATTACATTCGCGAAGGACTCCTCCCAAAGCGATAAAGTCATTTGCTTAAAAATACCACCTCCAGTGCTGCTGGTTTCACCCTTATTGTTTTTAGTTTTAAATTTTAAATCTTTCCAAACCTAGAAGAACTTTAGAAAACTAACTAATAAAAACATACAAAAATAATTTTAATTTTTACATACTTTTTGCCAGCCATCGGAGTCTCTAATCGGAGGCCCGTTTACATTTAAATTTGTAGCAATAGATTCCCAATCAGGTTTAAAATTAGCTGGAACATGACCTTTGGTAAACCCTTTTACCAAACATGGATTTTTTCCAATTCGGAAACCAAAATTTCAAATTGTTTTGCTGTTGTTATATTCATGGTCAAATATCAAATACAAAATGCTTACAATATCAACGTCGACTAAAAAATACAATATCATCACAATTTTTTACGGCGACAGATATTCTCAAAAATCGACTTCACGTCGACTATTGTATCGACAATGATAATGGCAACCATTTGTCGCTATCGACAAAAAACGACAACCCTAATATCATTATTGTCGCCTCGACTTAATTTTGCGACGCTGACGATAACCGTAATAGGGTCGAATAGCAATCATTTGTCGCTATCGACAAAAAACGACAACCCTAATATGATTATTGTCGCCTCGACTTCATTTTGCGACTCCGACGAGAACCATAATAGGGCCGATTATCATTGTCGATACAACAGTAGACGTGAAGTCGATTTTTGAGAATATCTGTCGCCGTAAAAAATTGTGACGATATTGTATTTTTTAGGCGACGTTGATATTGTAACCATTTTGTACTTGAAATTTTACCACGAAAATAACAACTACAAAATAATTTGAAATGTTGTTTTCCGAATTGAAAAAAAAACATGTTTGGCAAAAGATAATCGTCGTCGCAAAATGAAGTCTAGGCGACAATAACAGTATTAGGGTTGTCGATACAACAGTCGACTTGAGGTCGATTTTAGAGAATATCTGTCGCCGTTAAAAATTGTGACGACATTGTATTTTTTAGTCAACGTTGATATTTTAACAATTTTGCATTTGACCATGAAAATAACAACAGCAAAACAATTTGGAAATATTGAAGTCATTTCCGGCACTTGTTTATTAGTAAAAAAATCTTCGATTTTTTCGAAATTTTTTTCAGAGGTAGGCATTAAGATTCCTGGAAACTATTAATATAATTCCACAGATTTTTGACTCAAAAGTCCGGGTTCAACACCCGGCCTTGACCCGGATTTATTTACCCGATATAGGCTATACCTATATTGCTTATGAAAATGCCTATCCACATTATGGGGCCGAAGGCCGGCTACTTACCACTGTTAAATTTAGAAAACTTTAGTTCACGTATCCGGTTGAACATACCCAGAAAAGAATAACTCTGGACCCAGAAATGGTATTAGCACAAATTGTAGCATTTAGAAAGGTAAGAGTGACAGCTATAATTTGGCATCAATTTTGTTGACCCCCATAATGGGACCTTTTTCGACTCTTTGGGGGTTTTATAAAAATTCATAATTTGACTATAACTTCCGAACCTTTTTAAATAACCCCTTCAAAATATGATCCGCGACCACTTTGCAACTTTGGCGAAATTTCTTTTAGCACATGCTGAAAGCAGTCCATGTTAATTCTGAAGTAATTTGAAAATCTAAAAGAACACATTAAGTACATATTTTAAATAAATTAATTGAAATATATACTTACTTGGAATGCATTCATGATATTCATATTTTCCCAATATTTTTTTCTGAAAGAGACGAAATTAGGATTTAAAATACAAATAAAGTTTTATATTTTTTCTCAATCGGCCCAATTACGGTTGTCGTTACTATAGTCGTCGTCGACTTTATGTGCGAGTCGCCCTCGCCGTCGCTTCGATTCAAAAATGGTATAATGGTAAGGCATAGAAGCGACATCGACAGTTTAAAATAAAAGTTGGCAACAATTAAAAAAACGTTGGCAACACTCCCTTGTTATTGACAAAAGAGATAATTTTTTTGGTATTTTGAATTCTAATTTCGACTCTTTCGGAAAAATAAAAAATATAGTGAAAAAATGAAGATTATAAATGCGTTACATATCTTAAGTTCAAGTGAGGATGAAGAGAAGAATGTAAAGGCAGCCAACAAACATATTTGCATTGCCTGGCTTTTGATTGTGTTGTTCCAAAAGTTTACGCCGCTCTTTCAAGAGTTCAATAGTTTCTACTTTCCTTGGTGACTTTTTAACATTGTTTTTTCAGCATAGTCCACTTGCTCATTTTCATGAACTATAACGTCTATTACACTTATGTTTTTCTTATTTTCTATTCCATGTGCACGACCTGGTGGATTCAATAACTTTTGAAACTGCATTATATTCGCGACAGACTCCTCCAAAGGCGACAAACTCATTTGCTTAAAAATGACACCTCCATTGTGCTGGTTTCACCCATGGTACAATGATATCAAGGTAGGGCTATGATACCATATGATTTCAATTTTTTATTTTCTTAGCTTAATATGTCATCTTTATTTGTTTATGTATGTGTTTTCTTTTCAATAACAAAAAAATTGTTCAGAAAACATTCAAATTCGGATGTTTTCAAAATGTTTATTTCATCGTATGCATCGACAAAATCTAGAGTTTTTGTAGCGAAATAATCCTTTAGAGATATATAGAATCTGGTTTTGAAAAGAAGTGTTTACCTTTCACTCAGTTTTCGCCGTTTTCAATTATTTATTCAAAATAAATGCAACAAGTTGTTTGGTTTTTTATTGTTTTGATACTAATTCTGACATTACAAGCCAAACAAGTAGACCTCTATACTTGCAATTTTTTCAAAGTTGGCCTACCTTCTCTTCATTGTACCATGGTTTCACCCTTGTTGTGCACAAGTTTCTTTTTAGTTTTAAATTTTTAATCTTTCCAAACCTAGAAGAATTTTAGAAAACTAACTAATAAAAACATACAAAAATAATTTTAATTTTTACATACTTTTTGCCAGCCATCGGAGTCTCTATTCGGAGGCCCGTTTACATTTAATTTTGTAGAAATGGATTCACAATGTGAATAAAAATTTGATGGAACATGACCTTTGGTAAAACCTTTTGCCAAACATGGATTTTTTCAATTCGGAAACCAAAATTTCAAATTGTTTTGCTGTTGTTATTTTCATGGTCAAATATCAAATACAAAATGCTTACAATATCAACGTCGACTAAAAAGTACTATGTCGTCACAATTTTTTACGGCGACAGATATTCTCAAAAATTGACTTCACGTCGACTGTTGTATCGACAATGATAATGGCAACCATTTGTCGCTATCGACAAAAAACGACAACCCTAATATCATTATTGTCGCCTCGACTTCATTTTGCGACGCCGACGATAACCGTAATAGGGCCGAATAACAAGGGAGTGTTGCCAACGTTTTTTTAAGTTGTTGCCAACTTTTATTTTAAACTGTCGATGTCGCTTCTATGTCTTATCGTAATACCATTTTTGAATCGAAGCGACAGCGAGGGTGACTTGCACATAAAGTCGACGACGACTATAGAAACGACAACCGTAATTGGACCGAATGTTTCAGCTAATTTTAAATCAGATTGGGGATCCATTTCTACAAAATTAAATGTAAACGGGTCTCCGATTAGAGACTCCAATGGCTGACAAAAAGTATGTTACAATTAAAATTATTTTTGTATGTTTTTATTATTTAGTTTTCTAAATTTATTAATTCTTCTAGGTTTGAAAAGATTTTAAATTTAAAAGTAAAAAACAAAACTTATGCCCAATAAGGGTGAAGCCAGCAGCACTGGAAGTGGCATTTTTAAGCAAATGACTTTGTCGCCTTGAGAGGAGTCTGCACATATCAGTTTCAAAACTTACTGAATCCACCAGGTCGTGCTCTTGGAAGAGAAAATACGGAAAACATAAGTGTATCAGACGTTATAGATCATGAAAATGAGCAAGTGGACAATGCCAATGACGAGGCTGATGTAACTACTATTGAAGCTTCTGGGTCGCCTACAAAAAAAAGTCGAGCGGCATTTTTGTGTAAAGGCGTGGTGGGTCTATGTTTCTTAATAAAATAATATCCAAATCTGAACCGATTTCAATATAATTTGACATTTTTATACCAAATTTCGTAACTCATTCCAAACTTCATTGAAATTTGACATACATAGCGTGTTTGGTGAATTAAATACACGAAAATGTTAAATAGACCGAAAATGTATATAGGAGCCATTCCCAAATCTCAACGGATTTCAATATAATTTGACGAATTAATTTGTAGACCAAATTCCGCCTCACATTCCAAATCTCATTTAAATTTGACGTGAATAGCGTGTTTAGTGCAGTAAATAAACGAAATCGGGCGAAGTGGGCGGGTGGTATATCCAAATCTGAACGAATTTCAATATAATTTGGCAAGTTTATTTTTGTTCGAAATTCCGTTACACATTTCAAAATTAAAGACTTTATCTATAACCGATCATTACAGGTCCAATTAGAATTTCAATAAAGTTACTTTCAGGTGATGCTTTAGTATATTTGGAAATTTTTAGAAAAATCTGTTTAGCGGTTTTCGAGTATATATTACAAACAAACAATCAAACGTGCAAACATTTTCGTCTTTTATAGATACAGATTCTACAGACTAAAGCTCAAAAAATGTAAACAACTGAATCCATTGGAGGTATTCTCCTGAGTCTTTTGCTGTCCCTGTTGATGTGTCCGTGATAAATGTTTGATATATCAGTGTTTGGATGGTGACAAAGTTTGTTAGGTAGGTCTGTACTTGTACGATGCAGTCTCATCTTTTCAGTAGCCACAAAATTCGAATTATAAACTAAACGATACGTTTGCAATCGTTCATTGTCGCATTTTCCAGAAGTATAAAACGAAAAAGAACATACATAGTTACCAAAAAAAGAAATTGTTTTATTTCCTGTATGTGAATGCAAAGTAAACCAAAAAGTACTCGGCTGTAAAGTACTCACAAGGGACTCCTTGTGTGGAATTTCAGACAATTCCATTGAAAAAATATGGCTGGAATCCTCAAAATACCGAATATCGCGGGTACCGTTATATGGGGGCTACACGCTATCGTGGACCTATGTTGATAATTCTCTTCCAAGGGATAAAGTATCCACAAGGAACTCCTTGTGTGGATTTTCACACCATTACATTGGGAAATGTGGCTAAAATCATGAAAATACCGAATATTGGGGTACCGTCATATGGGGGATATACGATATGGTGGAACTATATAGATATTTATCTTCCAAGGGATAAAGTACTCACAAGGGACACCTTGTGTGGGATTTCAAACAATTCCATTGAAAAATGTGACTAAAGTCATCAAAATACCGAATTTCGGGAGATACCGTTATATGGGGGCTATACGATATCGTGGACCGACATAGCCCATCTTCGAACTTGACCTGCCTGCAGACAAAAGAGAGATCTGTGCAAGATTTTAGCTACTTTGTTGGGTCTAAAATGATTATTTCGATGAGTTACAAACGGAATGACGAACTTAATATACCCTCCATACTATGTATGGTGGAGGGTATAAAAATAATCATTGAGAATCCAACGGGTAATACATACCCACTATGCTTTTTCGACTACAAAAGAAGGGTATATTATGTTTGCCATCCTGTTTGCAACTGCTCGATATAAGCAATTTAGATCCTATAAAATATATATTACTTGTCAGCATAAAATTCTATGTCGATTTAGCCAAGCCCGTCCGTATGTCCGTCAATAGCAGCGGAATGTAATGACATAGGTGGTTAAAATTATAGTCAAGTTTAGGACTTTTGAAAATGAATCATTTATGTCCTACCACAAGATCTCTGACCTAATAATTGCTAAAGCTGGGTAATGACAGAAAAAATATTCCCTGTACACGCTATTTTCTGTGGATGAATTTCCAGTCAAATATTTTTTTTTTGCATTTTTTGTAGCATATGTCCCGGTTTAACAGGCTAATTATTTTCCGTTTATCTTTACAGACACCTTTATATAAAAAAGCACACTTGTAAGAATGAAAGAAATATTTATTTTCAGTGACAGTACGTTATTTGATTCAAGCTATGTTGCGAGAAGTACATTCATATTCCGGTTCATTGTATTTTGTCTTATCAAATTATTTTTTCTATTTTTTAATTGGTTTATCACGTGACTCGACGCGATTGCTATATAAGATTCACGTGTATTAACATCACGCGAGATTTGTTTTCGTTCAACGAAACGTTGAGTGTTCCTCCGTGAATTTAACAAACAATAAACCTATAAATATTTTCCGACAATAGCCAGCGAGTGTCGTCTGTTTATTTGTATAACAATGCTGACTTGAAACTAAATGGTTATCATTTTGTTTGCAAAACTTATCTTTTGTAGAGCAAATTTACAAATGCATATTTATGTATATATGTATGTACTTACATATAAATATTTTCATTTTATACCCTTCACTGTACATAGTATGGAGGTTATATTAAGTTCGTCATTCCGTTTGTAACTTATCGAAATAATAATTTTAGACCCAACAATGTATATATATTGATGTTGATCGGCGTAAAATTCCAAAACGATTTAGCCCTGTCCGTCTGTTGTAATCACGCTACAGTCAAAACGACTCAAGATAGGAAGCAACAATTTTGCACAGATCTGTCTTTTGTCTGCAGGCAGGTCAAGTTCGAAGATGGGCTGTATCAGTCCACTATATCGTATAGCCCACATATAATGGTTCCCCCCGATATTCGGTATTTCGATGATTTTGGACACATTTTTTAATGGAATTGTCTGTAATTGTTTTTGAGATTTTAACAGAATTTTTAATGAATTTTATTTTTATTTGTTTATTTATTTATTTGTTTATTTTTTTTTGAAAATTTTCCAATTCGTCCCAAATGGTGGAGGGAATTAAAAGATCGGCCCGACCGCACTTACTGCTTTTTTACTTGTTTTAACTATCAACTTGATGTAACTGGGCATCATCCGAAATGGTTACTGGATTTTCAAAACAAAACGAATAGTAGGTCTATCTGGTTACATATACAGGGTGAGATAAAAAAGACTGCAACAAAGTCAAACGCCATAATTTTTACATTTTTTTTAATTTTATTGAATGAAAGCAAATGTCGGAAATAGTATAAGTTTAGATTTGTTCGAATTGGTCAACTTTGGCACGAAATATGGTCTTCAAACGGCCAATGAAAACGTCACACGTTGCCCGAATGTTGCTCTGCGGTATTTTGGCCCATTTCCGGCGAAGCGCTTGATTGAGGTGATCGACACTTTTGTATTTTTTAGTGCCAACTAACGGATTGGTATCCGGAGATTTTGGCGGCCATTTTGCGCTGGAAATGAAGAGAGGAACCTCACTTTGTAACCATTCTTGGGTGGCGCGTGCTGAGTCCTGTTGGAATGCCCAAGGTCTGCGGCCAAAATGTTTGCTTGCCCAAAGCTTTAATAAACCCTCCAGAATATATTCGCGATAATATTCGGCATTTATTGTGATGCCACGGTCGATTAATACGAACAGAGAGTGACCATCGGCTGTTATGGCGGCTCACACCATCACCATGGCCGGCGCTTGAGTTCTGGTGGCCAACCGAAGGTGCACATTTTCAGCTGACCTCTTTGCCACGATCATTTTGTTTGTTTACAAACTGCTGTACAGCGAATGTTTTCCCATCGAAGAAAACTAAATTTGGCAGTTCACCACTTTCGGCAAAGGGAAGCAACTCTTTAGCTCTTTTGAGTTTATTTTCTATCAGTTGCGGTGTAAGTTCTTGCACTTTTTGCAATTTCAATGGCTTTACCCCGAGTTCATTTTTCAATATTTGCCGAATGGAATATAGCGATATGTTCAGGTCACGAGCCATTTTCGGCCACTGCGACGCGGGTTTCGATCAAATCGCTTCTTTACTTTTCGAACCATCAAAACTGGGAACTTTTTTATAATAAAACACCTGAATTTGTCAAATTTTAACAACATTTGTTTATTTATTATTTAATTAAATGTTTTTCTTTATATATTTAGATAATCCATACATTTACATCATACTTTCACAATTAACGTCAATTTTAGTGTACTAATTTAAAAAAATCTTTCTATTCGCTATTCTTTCATTTTCAATTTCGTTTGAACTCTCTACGCGATAAAATTTCGTTTCTCTAAAATATCCCATTGCGTAAATGTAGATGTTTTTTTTTTCTCTAAAATATCTGATTGCGGTGTAAATGTATAAAGAGTTTTATAGACTGAATACTAAATAATTAATTGCATATTTATAGAAAAATTGATAAATAATAAATTATTTTCAAATAATAATGGAAATATTAAATACAAAAAATGGTTAAAATATAATTTTGTTTTAAGCAAACAAAAAGTGTATGTATATATGTGTGGCTATGTATTACATAATATTGTTAGGGAATGTTTTAATCAGAATGGAAAGTTTCAAAAAATACAATACAATACATAGATAGATATATGAAAATATTTCTGTTATCGAAGGGGACTATATATTGTAATATCCAAAATATTGATATATCATTTTTTTATCAAAGCGAACATATTACTGTTTATATACTTTTGTTGCTATTTCTATAAATAACTACATTATTGTATTCGAAGGACGGGCTGGACTTGATTTATATTTTTTTTTTTCAATTTTTTTATTATAAGAGAATACAATTAAAGCCATATTTGAAAAGAAATTGAAAATACTTGTTTTAAGTCTTTTTTTTTTAATTGGCATCCATGCAATTTATTGGCACAGTGTTTAATATTAATACATTTATACATTTATTAAAACACAAAGAACTCAGGTATAAACAAAAAAGTTGAATTGAAAAATGAATATTTTTTTTTTAACAGAGTTACCCAGAGTTACCCAATAAGTTTGGTTGAACTACACCTCAAAAAATCTACATAAATTTTTATCGAATTAAGTTTGAATACGCAAAATCGAAATTCGGATTTTAACTGATTGATAAAAATCGGAAGATAGAAATATCGGCTTTTTCGTTGAGGACTAACATCGAAATGTTTAAAAGTCGTCTTTTGTCTTTGAATAAAGTAGCTAAGAAACTTTTTTACATTTCTAAAATTTATACTAGACAAAAGACAAGTCAAAAAGCAGTAAGTTCGGCTGGGCTGAACTTTGAATACCCTCCACAATATGGAACGAATTTGGAGATTTAAAAAAAAAAAATCCTTTTAAAATCTTAAAAATACCGAATGTAGCCGTTACATTGGGGAAATGTGATCTGGAGAATAATGTAGCTAAAATCATCAAAATACCGAATATAGGGAGGTGCCGTTATATGGGTCTATACGAAAACCTGGGCATGCATAGACAAACTCTAAATACGAAATTTGAAACAACTCCGGTGAGAAATGTCGGTAAAATCATCATAATACGAAGACGTGGGCCTGCATACGCAATTTTCCATGTAGTTTCCATTATGAACGGTAAATTAATAAAATTTGGCTACAATCATCAAAATACGGAATATCGGGGGTACAGTTGTATATAGCCCATCTTCGAACTTGACCTGCCTACAGACAAAAGACTGATCTGTGCAAAATATTAGCTACCCATCTTTATTCGTTTTGACTCTAGTGTGATTACAACATATTAGAATTTTAGGCTGATCAAGAATATATATACATTGTTTTTGTATCTTCATATAGCCCGCATATAACGGTACCTCCCGATGTTCGGTATTTTCATGATTTTTGCGACATTATTTACCGGAATTATTTCAAATTTCGTATTTAAAGTTCGTAGTGGGTACTACAGCCTATGACCATATTTTTGTATTCAGGTCCACGTCTTCGTATAGCCCCTATATGACGGTACCTCCCGATACTCGGTATTTCTATGATTAGGCGACATTATTCACCGGAATTGTTTCAAATTTTGTATTCGAAGATCGTAATGGGTACTACAGGCTATGACAAACAATTTCGTAAGCAGGTCCACGTCTCCATATAACAGTTTTCATTTAAGTGGTAGTTTTCGGAAGATTTTTGAAATTTTTCAAGTTTAGTGTGGCTTGTTTGTTCGGGATACCGTAGTATTTTGTTGTTGCAAAATGGTCAGGCTTTATCCCTTTATTGTTGTTTTTATAAAAAACAACGTCTGTTTATTAGTGGAGAACGATGGTAATGTTTACCAGGGGGTAAGGCAGGGAATACCTAGGTTTCGGAAAGAGCCACCAATCCTCATCAGTTCCCTTGTTTTTTGTCTGGGATATTCTCCCCAGAAGTTATTTTAAAAATAACTTCTATGACAAAAAACATTTTTTACCCAAGTGACGAGATCGTAAGCTCAATAGTTCCTTCAAATGGTGGAGTGTATTAAAAGTTCAGCCCGGCCATAAAAAAACATAAAGTGAGGGGGCCGTTATATGGGGCCATACCAAAACGGGTACCTATATAGACAACTTTTTATTACAACAATTGTTATCTATTTCGCGGGTAAATGTGACTACCGAATATCGGTGGGTACCGTAATGTGTGCGCTAGAGGAAAAAATTAACCTAGATATTCAATGTTCCGCTACCGGAGCTAGAACACATTATGACCTACAAATAGCAATTTTTAGAAAAATCCGTGAAAAAATGTGGCGAAAAGCATCAAAAAAAAAACCTAATTTCGCGAGATACTGTTATATGGCAACTATACCAAAACGTGGACCTTTACATACAATGTTCCGCCACTGTTTTGAATTTGTAAAACGAATAGAAAAATCCTTCACCACATCTTTTTAAAGGGATGCTTTAAAATAATGTGGAGAAATCTGTCATTTGAAGGTTAACATTTTCGAGAAAAAAATTTCTTAGTTGTCATATCTTATCAGGCATGTCACAGTATCGAATCGGAATGGTTTGAATTCCGTAATTCAAAATCGAGCGTTTTTGTTTTAGCTTCTTCAGAAGAAAATGTGCTGAAAATCATCAAAATACCGAATTTCGGAAAGTATGTATAGTTGCATTATATCTTCCCGAAATTAGGTATTTTGACGTGGACCTATACATACAATGTGCCGCCACCGGAGCTAGAACCCATTATGACCTACAAATACCAATTTTTAGATAAGTCCGTGGGAAAATGTGGCGAAAATCTTCAAAAAACCGAATATCGTAAGGTACCGTTATATGGCGACTATACCACAACGTGGACTGATATATCTTATCTCATTTTCAATACCAACCATCCTAGACATAATGTTGTGTAAAATTTGGATGCTCTACGTGAAATAATGTGGGCTGTATCGTGATTTCAACAGACAGACGGACATTCTTATATCGACTTTGAATTTAATGGTGATCATGAATATATATACGTAAGAGAGAAAATTCTCTCTATACAGACTACTGAGAATATCTTGCTATTAAGTTTTGAAAAAAAAAAAAAAAAATTTATAGTAATTTTCATATATCACATTATTAGACTAAAATCTAGCTTCTTTCTCCAACAATTTAGTCATTTTTTAATTAAACATTTTTAAAATATTGCTATCGGCAATTATTAAACAAAAATTAAGTAATTTTTAAACGATTTTGTTATTTAATACAGTTTTATAAACTGTTATCGGTAATAATTTTGATAATTCGAAAAGTCCAAGTGTGTTATATTCCTCGTGTATCAAACCGACAATGATTTGTTTTTAGTGTAAAATGGCTAACAACAGTTTTCTTAGTTCTCCTTACCCTTATATATTAGAATTCTAAGTGTGATTTGTCCAAACGTAAACCTTTAAAACACTGTGCCATAATTACTATTTAATACCATACATTTCTCATTAACAAGTTGAAAGTAAAAAATAAATGTTCTTAGAAATATACGCAGACTTTCTGAGTCACAAATGGAACATGCCAAATTGTGGAAATTTTTCATACATTGCAACATTTAAACGAAAAAAAAGAAACAGATAAGAATAAACTCAAGAACAAGTACAAAAAATAATTGTGGAAAATTACAGTATTTTAAGTGATTTGCTTTCACTTTTTTTTTAAATTTAAAAATACTAAATATTATTAAATATAGACGAAACATATAATGCGTATGTGCTTACGTTGTGGTGTGAAGTGTTATTTTAGTTATGACAGATAGACAGATAGATACAAAGATTGCTTTCATCCTATTTTTATTTAGACGGCTTAAATATAAACAGACAGCTACAGGTGTGGTGTGGTGTGAGAGAGAGGGAGCGGATTTTTTTGACAAATGTGTCCAAATATTGTCTGTCATTTGTGATGGATCAATCATCAACGAAGTAAACCAACTTTTTCTCATTCATTGCGATTTTAGACATTCAGCACCAAATGTTTCTTGGCACTGTTCAAGGGCAAATGGACCGCCACAACGGCCAAACGCCCATCGCGCAAGGGGGCCAGTACATGGGTGTTGCCGGGCGTCACGATTACCGTTTGTATCGGCACGTGCAGTGGTATATCGAATACAGGCTTCAATCTGAAATTAGAATTAAGAAACAAAGAATGAATTAACAAATGTTCTGGAATAATTAGTGTTTGCCAGCGAGAGGAATAATTAGGTCGGCATTTGCTTTGATGCCTGCTAATCATGGAATGACGTTGCACATCATTGGACGGCAAAACAACTAGAAGATAGAATCTAAATCAAGTGTTTGGTGTTGCTTATGAAATGGTTTGTTTGACGTTATCAGTTGGCAACAAACTTTTTCTGATTCTCTGTGCAAAGGTAAATTGTTTCTACGGAGATTCTTGAACGGGTTATTAAATGCAAAACTTAAACGATTACTTATCTGTGGGTAAGCGAAACTTTAAAAATATCTCAATTTGGCCAGTACCAAATAGATGTGGATAACACAATGGTAGCGCTCGTCACATTTCAAGGGAAATTAAGGAATAATTTTGTATTTTATAAAAGTTACGATTAATGAAAATATACAACAGATTATGAAACTAAAGTTAAAAGACATATGTATCGGCCTTTTGAAAGATTACATCAAAAGGGGGTTTGCCGACAGGTATATACCCTCAGCCAATGTTCGATGCTTTCAATATATTTTGACTTCTGTTATGATTATTCAAATTGTTAAACCTCTGTGGAGTGGGTTCAGAAGGATTGGGCCAATATTAACCATGTAGTATCGGACCCAAACGAATATAATATACAGGGTAAGATAAAAAACTGAAACAAAGTCAAACGCCATAATTTTTATATTTTTTTAATTTTATTGAATGAAAGCCAAAAATGTCGGAGATATTATCAAATTTTAGAATAATTTTAGATTTGTTCGAATTGGTCACCTTTGGCACGAATTATGGCCTTCAAATGGCAAATGTAACCGTCACACGCTGCCCAAATGTTGTTTTGCGGTATTTTGGCCCATTCCCGGTGAAGCGCTTGCTTGAGGTGATCGACACCTTGGTATTTTTAGTGCCAACCTTGCTTCCAAAATACTCCAGACACAATAGTCCAAAGGATTGGTATCCGTAGATTTGAAATGAAGAAAGAGAAATGAAGCGAGGAACCTCATTTTGTAACCATTCTTGGGTCGCACGTGCTAAGTGCGATGGTGCTGAGTCCTGTTGGAATGTCCAAGGTCTGCGGCCAAAATGTTTGCGCGCCCTCCAGAATATTTCCGCGATAATATTCAGCATTTATTCTGATGCCACGATCGATTAATAAGAGCGGAAAGCGACCATTGGCTGTTATGGCCGCTCACACCATCAGCATGGCCGGCGCTTGAGTTCTGGTGGCCAACCGAAGGTGCACATTTTCAGCTGACCTCTTTGACAAGTAAACACGATCATTCTGTTTGTTTACAAACTGCTGGACAACGAATGTTTTCTCATCGGAGAAAATCAAATTCAGCAGTTCACCACTTTCGGCCAAGCGAAGCAACTCTTTAGCTCTTTTGAGTTTATTTCTTTTTTCCGTTGCGGTGATTGTTCTTGCACTTTTTGGAATTTCAGTGGCTTTACCCCGAGCTCATTTTTCAGTATTTGCCGAATGGAATATTGCAATATATTCAGCTCACGAGCCATTTTTTCGGCCACTGCGATGCGGGTTTCGATCAAGTCGCTTCTTTAATTTTCGAATCATTTCTTCTGATGTTGCTGTTTTCTTCCGTCCACTTCCTTGACGTCGGGCTTCGCTTCCAGTATCACGGTAACGAGCGATGGTACGAGACACAAAAGATTTATTTACATTTAAATGCGATAGCCACTTGTGGTTTTCCAGCCAAATATAAAGAAATCACATAATCACGCTTGAATGCCATCACGAATAACTTTTTTTCTGGAAATTCTCACCAAAATGCTTTTGTACGCATGTAAACAATATAATGAGCTATCACTGGAATAATTTTAACAGCTGTCGGACGAGTGGCTTAGATATGACGGTAGGATGAAGTTGGTTGAAGTTTTTTCATCTCACCCTGTATGGTAGAATATAATAACAAACAATTTTGTGCAACATATTGATTTGCTATGATTACGTTTAAAGTGAATTTTTAACCCTATTTTGAAAAAGGTCCCCTTTTGGTGACTCTGTGGTGGGTTGAAAATTCAGAACAATATTATTTTCATATTGTTACCTGTAATATTGCCGAAGATACTATTTAGCTAAAATGAACTGATTCCAAGGAGTCTGAATCCAAAGATCTCAACAAATGTGGGAGAGGGAAGCTTGCCCCTTCTAATTTGGTTACTTTGGGATGTAAACTTTCAAGATGTCCATACCTGTGTCTTTAATTTTTAGCACTGCTTTAACTAGATATTCTCTGTAATTTTTGAAGAAATTTTTATAAAGGTCAACGTTTCAACAAAATCGGATTCTCACACTACCTTTAACGAGTATTTTTTGGACATTATTGTATGAACCTATTTGACCAATTTTCGGTATAGATCTGGCGTCGGTAAAAAATTTTGGAAAATACAAAGTTTGTGAAAATTGGTGATTTATTTTTCATATTATCAGAGACACGATTGTTTTAAAATTTGGGCCGTTCGTGAGGAAGGTACCAGAATTATGTGACTTTTGGCCGTATCAAAGGATATATACCCTCAGAAGCAATATGACCCAAAGTTTCTCTAAATAAAACCAGGAATTGGTAGTTTTGAACTTCATAAAAACGAGTTTTAGGTAGTAATTCCCCATAGTTTTTATAAATTAAAAAATCATTATTAAATAAAACAAATATTTTAACTTAAAAATAAACACTTACCCATGCAAACGACTCAATGTTATATCTCCAGCATCGTCAGCGACTACCAAATAATCGGAGGCGGTCGCCAATCCTGTAACTCGGCCCGAAACGTATTTGGAGCCCAAACTCGTTCCATTAATGCTATAAACATGAACCGAATGAGAAGCATCGTCCAATGCACTAAATGCAATGTGACCTAAAAGGAAAAAGTTACAAATGTTATTTTAATAAAATAAGTATTTCATGGTGGTGCCACAAAAATCGGGCTTTGGAAAAGCATTAATAAATTATGAGATTAATTTCTCAACTAATAAAAGGATAAACGCGAAAGGGGCCGACAATAAAAAAGACAATACCACTTACAAAAAAAAAAAAAAAAAAAAAAAAAAAAATATATATATATATATATATATATATATATATATATATATATATATATATATAATAATTATAAAATTTTATAATTATTCCACTGTTTGCTCATTATATTGTAGAAAATCATTTTGGTGAGAATTTTCCATCAGTTATTCGTGATGGAATTCAAGCGAGATAGTGTGATTTCTTTATATTTGGCTGGAAAACCTCAAGTGGCTACCGTTAGAGCACTCCAGCATTTAAATTTGAATAAGTCTTTTGTGTTTCGTACCATCGCTCGTTACCGTTATACTTTTAACGTAGCCCGACTTCAAGGAAGTGGACGGAAGAAAACAGCAACAGCAGATATGGAAAAGTAAAGAAGCGACTTGATCGAAACCCGCGTCGCAGTGGCCCAAAAATGGTTCGTGAGCTGAACATATCGCAATATTCCATTCGGCAAATATTGAAAAATGCGCTCGTGTTAAAGCCCTTGAAATTCCAAGAAGTGCAGGAACTTACACCGCAACTGAAAAAAAAAGACTCAAAAGAGCTAAAGAGATGCTTCGCTGGGTCGAAAACATTCGTTGTCTAGCAGTTTGGTTGGCGTTTACTTGACAAAGAGGTCAGCTGAAAATGTGCACCTTCGGTTGGCCACCAGAACTCAAGCGCCGGCCATGGTGATGGTGTGAGCCGCCATAACAGCCGATGGTCGCTCTCCGCTCGTATTAATCGACCGTGGCATCAGAATAAATGCGAAAATATTCTGGAGGGTGTTTTAAAGCCTTGGGCATATAAACATTTTGGTCGCAGACTTTGAACATTCCAACATGACTCAGCACCATCGCACTTAGCACGTGCCACCCAAGAACAGAAACAAAATGAGCTTTCTCGCTTCAATTCCAGCGTACAATGGCCACCAGAATCTCCGGATATATATCCGTTGGACTATTGTGTCTGGAGTATTTTGAGAAGAAAGGTTGGCACTAAAAAATACCAAAGTATCGATCACCTCAAGCAAGCGCTACGCCGAGAATGGGCCAAAATACCGCAGAGTAACATTCGGTCAGCATGTGACGGTTTCATTGGCCGTTTGAAGCTCACAATTCGTGCCAAATTCGAAAAAAATCTAAAGGTATTTTAAAAATTCATGCTTTTTCCACTTTTTTGCTTTCATTCAATAGAATTTAAAAAAAATGTAAAAGTTATGACGTTTGACTTTGTTGCAGTTTTTTATCTCACCCTGTATACTCTAGATCGATACTGTATACTCAAAACGAGTAAAGATAAGAAGCTAAAATTTTGCACTGAACAGTATTTTGCCTGCAGGCAGCTTAAGTTCGAAGGTGGGCTATATTGGTCTACGATATCGTGTAGCCCCCATAAAACGGTACCTCCCGATATTCGGTATTTTGATCATTGTAGTCATTTCATTTTTCAATGAAATTGTCTGAAAATTCACAAAAGGAGTTCCTTTTGAGTACTTTACACTCTGAGAGAATCTTGTCTATATAGGTCCACGATATCGCATATCCCCCATATAACCATACCTTCCTATATTCAGTATTTTGATAATTTTAGCTTCATTTTTCAATGGAATTGTCTGAAAATCCACAAAAGAGAAAAAAATCCCCTGGAAGAGAAATGTCTATATAGGACCAAGATATCGTATAGCCCACATACAACGGTACCCCTCGATTTTCGATATTTTGACGATTTTAGAGACATTATTCAACGGAGTTGTTTCAAATTTCGCATTTAGAATTCGTAATGGGTACTAAAGCCTTTGGCAAAAAATTGTCTATGCAGCTACTGGTCTTTGTATAGGTATATCTGTACCTTTCTATATTCAGTATTTTGACGATTTCAGGTAAAATATTCACCGAAATTGTTTGAAATGTCGTATTTGAAGTTTCTAATAGGTACTGTACTATAGGCCTGTGACAGGACTTCGTACAGCCCCGATGTAACGGTACCTCCCAATATTCGGTATTTTGATGATTTTAGCGACATTTTTCGCAGGAGTTGTTTCAAAATTCGTAATTAGAGTTCGTAAGGGGTACTACAGTCTATGCCAGAAAATTGTCTATGCAGGTCCATGTCTGATGATTATAGCTACATTGTTCACCGGCATTTTTTTCAAGTTTTGTATTTGAATATTGTAATGGCTTATGACAAAAGTTGCCTTTGCAGGTCCACGTCTTGATATAGACCCCAATATAACATCTATGTTCGGTATTTTTAAGATTTTAACAGAATTTTTAACGTATTTTATTTTTTTGAAAAATTTCAAATTCGTTCCAAACTTTGGCCCGACCGAACTTACTCTACATCACAAGGTGGTCAGGGTATTATGTCTTTGTGCATTTGTTTGTAACAGACAAAAGGAAGCGAGATAGACCCATAGTTACTTTTTATGATCTGCATAGCATCATACTCTGAATCGATTTATGCATGTCCGTCCGTCCGTCTGTCCATGTATTCTTGTGAACAAAGTACAGTTCGCATTTATTACCCGATCCAGCTGAAATTTTGCACAAATCATTTGTTTGGCCCAAGGACGAACCCAATTGAAATTGGAGATAATCGGTAAAATTTTAGATATAGCTCCCATATATATCTTCGTCCGATTTGCCTTTTATTGTGCACCAAACGTGTAATATCAGCCCGAATAATATGGAATTTTGCACATACAACCAAATTAGGCCTGAAAATAAGTATGCCAAATTTGATCGATCAGATATAGCTATAGCTCCCATATATATTGTTCATCCGATTCGTTATTTTAGTCCTCCGCAGCCGTTATATGCACTCTATTTGGGCAAACATATCAGCTTAGAATACCTTTGCGAAATTTTATCGAGATCGGTTCATATTTGGATGTATCTCCCATATATAACTTCGTCCGATTTACCTTTTATTGTGCACCAAACGTCTAATATTTGCCCAAATAGTTTGAAATTTGGCACTTACGACCGATTTGAGTCTAGAAGCTAGTATATCAAATTTGGTGAAGATCGGTTCAGATATAGCTATAGCTCCCATATATATTGTTCATCCGATTTGTTATATTTGTTACCCACAGCCGTAATATGCACTCCGTAACAACGATATTCAGGGAAATATATCAAATACAGCTCAGAAATATCTTTGCCAAATTTTATCAAGATCGGTTCAGATTTGGATATAGCTCCCATATATATCAAATGGACAATGCAAGTCAGAATTTAAAAGATACAAATGCTTCGGCATATTTAGTCTTTTGAACTTTAAATTATAATTATAATCATAACGTGTATGATTGAATTCTCCCATAAAAACTTTTAATTGTTATATGGAGCTCTACTAAATTAGCAAAGTGGTGTAGGGTATCATAAAGTCGGCCCCGCCCGACTTTAAGACTTCCTTTACTGGTTTTTTACTTGTTAAATGGTCAAATACAACATAAATTAATTTTAAGACATTTTAATGAATTATGGTCTTATAAAAATTACTGCATTGTTTTGGTATTTTATCGCACAATCATCAAATAAAAAAAAACTGCAAAGAATGTATTTCAAGAATGTCCAAATGTTAACTGTTATTAAAAGTTCGCGAAATTGTCAAAATTTCCACTCAAAAGCACATTGTCTTCATAAATCGCCAATAAAAACTGATTAGAAAATTTGTTTTTGTTCTATGAATTACGACCGTTGGACTTGGAATAATAACACAGTAGCACCATTTTGAGGTAAAGATATTAAATCAGACATGGATAATTCCAATGGAGTTTTCTTAATGTGATAGTTGATGACTTCGTATAAGACCGACTATTTTGAGTTTCCCGTGGCATTCCCGATTGACAAAATAGGACTGCAGATAAAGGCTTAATGACATATTTAAAAACCACCTTCTCGACGATTACGAGTATGTCTGGCCAGCAGCGAAATTCTCCCCTAAATCCCCGAGCAAAGTATGAAACACACATATATTGTGAATCATAGAAAGTCCATTAATCATTAAAAATTAAATATTCAACAAAACCCATTGCCAATTAACCCAAATCCCCGATACTTAAAAAGATTAATTTTTAAAAAAAGACTGCCGGCCCTTGTCTAATTGTCTGTGACAAATAATGTGAAAATAAAACTGACAACATTTTTTCTTTTTCGTTGAAGCAAATCACAATGCTTTATTGACTCTTCCTAAGAAAACTTATGACTGGAAATTTGAAAAAAAAAAAACACGCAAAAGTTTTAGGAAAATCAATTTAGTGGCGTCACTGCGTCATTTTAACACCACCAACCACCACCATCATCAGCTGTCCGTCCGGTGTCTAGTCAGAGTTCTACATTCGGCGTAGTCTGCTGGTAGACATTTGTGATGGGTGGGTGTTAAGTTTTGCTCGTAATTTATTGAAACATATATTTTAGGAATTATGCCTGTCTCTTAAATATATATTGTGCGAATAAATACAAGGAGGCGGGGTATAATTAATTAGTAGACAGACATACTGACCAATATGCGAATGCTGTCTATGGCTATGTATTTTGTAGACTGTCAAGTGGCCGCAACATTGTATACAAAGCATTTATATTTCAAAATGTGGATGCTCTGTTCCAGTACCTGCAAGAATCTACTAGTTTTGCCATTTACCTCCAAGAATTGTATATTAACTTTGTCATTCCGTTGATAACATCCCTAAATATTCATCGTAAACGCCATAAAGTATATATATTCCTGATCATTCATGATGATAAAATTCTAAGTCAATTAAACGGGGTAACTCCGATATTCGGTATATCGATGATTTTTGCCACATTTTGGTATTTGTAGGTCATAATGGGTTCTATTTCCGGAGGC